GGACCCGGTCTTTTCCATTTCGCAACTCCTCCTCTCTGTTATTCCGAGACGTGGACCGGGTGGTTCTTAGCGCGACGGAGAAAGCGATTTGGCATTTGTCGTGGACGTAATTGGTTTAAAAGTCAAAAAGAAAAAACTAAGGACTTTTCTTTTCGTTGAATTGCAGCTACGGCGATAACCATCGGATGCGTCATTTATCCCAACGGATGGAGCAGTCGAGAAATTAAAGACGCCTGCGGAGACTCTTCCGACGCTTATCGTCTAGGTAAGGCGAGCACCCCTCTTTTATCGCACGTTTTCTTTCCAAATTTACAAATTTCTCGTCGAATAAATTTATTTTTTAAAGTTAATTTTCTAAATCTTAATCCCGTACGATTTCGCGAGAAGATGCCACGGTTTCTCTACTGTAATTTTCGGGCAAATCTTCCACCGGGAAGACTATTTACTGTAGGTTCCGAGTGCGCGGAGGATTTCCCGACGAAGAACAATATCTCGCGTACCGTACACTTTTTAACGGATGTCGGTGAAGGAACGATTTTTTTTTTCTTTTGTCGTTTACGCGCAAATTTTATCGTATCTACCAACGATTAATTTGTGTGGTTCCTTCGCAGGTTCCTGCAACTTCTCGTGGTCCATTTATCTACTGGCGTCCGGAGTGATTCTTCTAGTGATCTGTTCGGCGTTGTCCTTCAAGGCGGCACCCGACAAACTTCCCTATCGCATCTGACAAAGACTTTCCGACCGGAAGTGGGCGGTGGACGGTAGAGGAGCGGTGACACTTCCGGCCACCCAGGCGACGGAGGGAGAGAAAGCGGTCGCTACGAAATGCGCCGTGTGGACGGTCGAAAGACCACCCCGAAACGATCGACTTTTGTGATTTTACTGCCTCTTTACGTCATTCGACTGATTTTTATACGCGTTTTTTCCACAAATGCGCGTTATTCGTTCGCGTTTCCTTATTGTTACGCAGTTATATCGAAACGTAACGTTGTTCCGTTGAAAAATGATATATTCTGTACTACATTATAAACACACACACACATATATATATATATATATACATACAAGCGCGCGCGAAGACGAGCGTACGTATAATGAGGAGTTACGTCCTATGTGCCAACACGTTGGATTTTTCACCTTCTTTAGTCATATTTTTAATGGGACGAGGAGAGACTTTCGATACGTCAAAACGAGAGAAGTTATATATACATAAACGTTAAGACGGGGTCGGTTCGGTCCGTCCCTATTTAAAGATTTTACGACGAAATAAAGTTATTATCGATTATCTTTAAGTCGTTTGAAAACCTCCGCGACGAAATATCTTTCTCGCATTGTCGGCCGATAGAGAATTTCTTCTGGCGTAACGAATTGTTTCCGACCGACTACGTCACCGCCAAAAAATTCCGCGAAAATCGTTTCTTCCGGCTCTTATTTGTAAAAAGTTTTCGCTTCCTTTTGTGGGAATGTGGGAATTTCGATCGACGGAAAACAAAGAATGACGTCATTCCGGAATAAAACTTAAAGGATCGTCGTGTCTCTTAGGTCCGGTGGAAAACAAAGGTTTTAATTTCCGAGGTAGAAAGGCTGCCGGTGTTTCTTGGCCGTCGTCCAACGAATCGTACTTTTGCGCCATTCTCCGAGCGATTGGGAGGAAGAAATTCTCTAAAAATCTAATGGGAACGAAATAGGAATGATACGCCATCTTCAACAATTTGCCAAAATTGAAAACGTTCTTAATATTAGCCAATTGTTGGACGACATTTACGGGTCTTTAATCTCATTCCAGTTATTAAATTACGTAATTTTCGTCTCTTAAAAGGTAGTTATTTTCTCGTACGCTCCCCGACTACGAAAGGTAACAATCTCCCGGAAAATACTTACTGGAAATTACTAAAGAATCGTAATTGGGAGTAAAGGAAATCACCGGCATCTTCGCTATCTCAAAAACCCATTATTGTTTAAGCATCGCTCCTGTTTGTTACTAAGTTATTTTCTCAAAAAAATACCAAAATTATTTAAATTCTCTAAAGCCATTTTGTGACGGGACTTTTGCTCAACAAAGTTTAAAATTAAAACCTAAAAGGATACTGTAGACGATGGTAATTTAGAAGATCGTTTGGAGAAAAGACACGCCACTTTCCATCATAGGCATAGACACATACACACACACATATATATATATATATATTTCAAAGATGTCCAACAGCTGCGAATGATGGGTATCTTGTTCCTCGAAAAAATCTCATATTTTATTCTCCTAGTGTAAAATAATCATTATTCTTCGGTAGTGTCTTTGAATTATGAAACGGAACGGCTCCTCTTTAAATTACCCACCAACGAGGGGAGCGTCGGACTTTTTCACTCTTCGTTCGTCATTCTTCGGCTCCACCGAACGTCGTCTATGGTCGAAAATCCCTTCTCTAAAATATTCAAGTAATACGTAAGTTTAACACAAAAACCGGCCCGGTAAAATTAACAATTTGGGAAGTATGGCGCCACTCTAATAACTTTAGTGAAAATAACGGCAAACGGCGTGATGGTCTATCCTTTATTAGATAGGTTGCGGCCGACGTTTTCAAGGCGAAAACGTGTACGTCGGACGTTCAGCGCCGCCTTCCTGTAATCCTAGAAGTTTGACAATGACGTTTGGAACGTCGAGCATGATTCCACTGACGTTCCAAACGTCATTGTCAAACTTCTAGCATTACAAGAAAGCAGCGCTGAACGTCCGACGTACACGTTTTCGCCTTGAAAACGTCGGCCGCAACCTCTCTATTAACTTTCGTTAAACGGGTTAAATGCAGTGTTTAAGCTTTGATTATTATTATATTTCAAATTACACTCGCCGTATTCCATTTTATACGACGAAAATATATATTTTATGACGTAAAATATTTCGTCACTGCCAACCGAAAACGAAAATGACACTAATCCAGATCTCCCCATTAGCGCTGTTCGCCGTAGCGGCATAATTTAGAACTAATGCTAGCTCCGGGGAGGGGACTAGATAATAGTGACGTTTAAGTGTATTTATTGTTCTTTCGAAATAATTACTTTCGGCATTTGCCTCTAGGTGCCGTAAATTCTCGATTTCATTATTCAGACAAATAAATACACTAAAGGAATAATTTCTTCGACCCGAACATGTTTTCAATTACTCGCTCGTCCTTAATAATATTTACGATTTAATTAAATCACCGATATAAAATAAAGATGTCGTAGACTTAAAAACGAATTTTAATAAATATCTCTTAATTTAAAAAAAAAAAAGGATTTTTGAGAAAAAGAAACAAGTATTTTTAAAAGGAAGAATAAATTATCCAGAATATTCTTTATTAAATTCGTTATTTATTTTGAAAAAATAATTAAGATAAATAAAATGAATTGAATTAATTAACGTAAAGTAAATATTTATATTTATTATCCAATGCATTATCTTTCTCCTGGGAATTTATTTATTATTATTTTTTTATTTTTTTCAAAAAATAGATGTTTGTGTTTCCGCTTAAAACTCGGTTAGCCGTGGTATCAAAACTAAAGCTCTGGTTAACGAACGTGTATTCCCGGTCGCCTTTTCTCTCTGTCAAAGAAATCATCTTTTTCTCTCATTTTTCGAATCCCCGCAACACTTCTCTACCTGATTTTCGCCCCACTCTTGGTCTTAAATGTTTACTTTACTAATTAAAAAGGTTTTACCTTATCAGACTAATAATATAAATGCAAATTAGATACGTTCCCTCAAATTCTTCTACAGAATATCCGTCCTGAAGACAACCGTTTCATTAGTTTAAAAATACAGTAAATTCTTAAAAGCATGTTTTTCTTTATAAATCTCATTTCTACCCTTAAAATGAAGTCTTTTGCCATTTTATAATAATTTTAAAAAAACAAACAACGAATTGCGTAACATTTCCGGCTGTTTTGTAATTTTATTTTAAAAAAAAAACAACTTTTATAACATTAATTAAGCGTAATAAATAAAATTGTGTGTGGCGCCATCTGTAGTCATATTTTGTTATTAAAAGTTTATATTTTTTAATTACTATAAAATGGCAAAATGTTTAATTTTGAGGGTAGGAATAAATATCATAATAAATTATAAATGTTAATAAAGAATAAAATCTTCCTTAATTAAGTTCTTCCCCTTTCAAGATACGATATGTGACCACCTCCCGGACCTCACCTTTGACTACCAAAACGATAGCATCGATGCCTCTCGTACACAAGCCATCGTGCCAAATTTCGTTTCTTAATCTTTACCCCATCCTGAGATATTAAAATGACGTATTTACAAAAAATTTGACTGTATCTGGTGATTTAATTCTGAATTCAATAGGCAAAACATTGTGTTTCCAAATACAATATTTGAAATAGTAAATAGGAGTTTATTTTTTGAAGAATAAGCATTACTTGTCACAGGGAGCTTCAGGATTTTGGAGATGCTTAGGTGGGGGATGGTCAAAAAAGGTTGGAAACCACTGTTCTAATGCATTCCGACGATACTGTATTTGAATTTTTTAATAATTTTCATGCTGTTAATTTTATATAACGCTTTATACCAAATAAAAAAATAAAAATAAAACGCCGCACAAAAATTTAAAATTAGTCTTTGGACACGGGAATGGGCACCGTTCATATTTACTTTATTATCGTAGCCCCATTCAAGCATATTTAAAATTTTTAGGCCTAATGATTCCAGTTGTTGTAATCATTATTTCTAAAAAAACTCGCGAAACATTTTCATTTAGTTCGAGTTCTCCGTTCCTAATAGTTCCGAGTCCGGAACGATTCCGACACGGACGTACCCGCCTCTAAACTAGGGTGATCAGATTTTCCCGGTTTTGCCCGTTTTTAATATTCGAATCTTTGAATACAGTAATTTTATTAACATGACGTAAAGAAATTATAATACGGTTCCTTTACGGATTTTTTTTTTAATTAAATTAAAATAGTTTTAAATAATCTCCACAAGGGGGCACCTAGTGACGGCGCGATTTTCGTCGGCACGTTATCGAGCGGTAGGATTGTAAATTTTTTTTTTAAAGTGTAATAATCTCGTAACACGACTATTAACCGAGTATATAATTATAATTAACAATATTTGGTGTATTCGGATTTTATCGTCATTCTTTCGAATAGATAGGTAATATTTTTTGTATTAAAAGAGAAAATTAAGCAAGAAAAATTGATAACATTCTTATCAATGAACTGTGACGTAGCATCGTACGACCTGCCGTCGCTAAATGCGGAAAAGGTTGATGTTTACGTTACAATGTTAACGAATTTGACGAAATCGGCTTTGAAAAAGTCACAAACGACGTAATAATCGAAACGAAGGTGACGTCAGTCATATTCGCGGGAGATGTGTAGAACTGGAGATACGGTAAGAAAAATTCCTTTCCTTAATTTTATACGTTAAGTAGTAGTTATAATTTCGGACATATTTTTATTTCAGTAATGAAGACTTTCGATTCAAAGGTCAATAAATATTGTAGTTTAAGTTCATATATAAACGTATTTTACTTCGTTGTTTATTTATTTTTTTTACGATACGTAAATAATTCTGTACTTTACCGATAGTTGTTTAGCGCGAAAATATATAATGGATGACACAAACGAAGTAAAATACATTGCCGCCGTGGATATCGGAACTTCGACTATTCGTTGCCACATTTACGATAAAAAAATAAACGTCGTGGGGGAAGCGACGTTACAGGTACGCTTTACACGTTTACTAATGCCCTTAATGTTATTTTAATTAATTTGAATAATTACAATTGGATTAAACGTTTCTAGATCGAACTCGCGCATCCGCACCGAGGATGGGTCGAAGTCAGTCCGGATCATTTGTGGTTAGCCTTTGTTAAAGTTATAAAAAATAGCATATTGAGTAAGTAATCGAATTTTCTTATTAATTTTCAAATTAATAACTTATCCAGCCTCTTATTTATTGCGTAAAATTTAATACCGTAAAATTTGCGTAAAATTGCGTAAAATTTAATCCCGTAGCGATCCCGACGACGCCCGCCGACGGGATCGCTACGGGAGTCTTTGAGAGGGTGGCCCGCCGAACCCTTTGCGGGAAGAGTGTGACGGAGGTCGTTTCGAAGTCTTTGGGTGTTGCATTGTCGTGGTTCTCCTCTCGTTAAAGTGCCGATTTTGCTCTCTCTTCCTTGTCGTTCGAGTGTTTTTTAAATAACGGCGCTTTGGCCTAGTGGAACGGTACCGAAGTAGACTTCCCAATTTCTAAGCGTTTCTGAAATGTGTGGTACCTACATTGCAGGTGTGTCTTGTCTAAAGATGCACGTGGGTGGTGTCGACTTTGAAAAATGTCGGATCATTATGGATGAAACCTAACTGATCTCGTCTGATTTTTTTGTGTGGGAGATTTAATTAAATAATAAACAGATTTTTTTCTTTGGAATTCTTATTTATCTCGGAGTATAAATTTTTGGATAAAATCTTTATTTCGAGGTGAAAGGATGACTTACAAAACTAAAAGTGATAAATTCTTCATGATTTTCCATTGAATAATTAACAAATTTTAACATTTGTATTATTTATTAATTAAATTCCATTTGGTTAACTTTTATTTAAAATTTGGTCTGAGAGAATTTAATTAAATAACAATTTACTGATTTAACATGAATCTTTAATTAACAAAATGATACAGCAATTATGAATAACATGAATCTGCTATTTAAAATTTTAATGTATTTGATATTTACAGTATCTTGTTGGTAGAATATATTTTGAATTATTCTGTCTTTAATTAGAATTTGTCTGAAATAATCTGTTTATTTCTGTTAAAAACACTTTTAAAACACTTTTATTTCCAGGAAATCCTAATTAGTTTGAAATTCACAGGATGAAATAATTGCAACTTCAAATTATTTCGTTACTTGAATTTCAAAACTTAAAGTTTTGAATTATCCTATACATTTCTATACAATATGCTAAATTCCATATAACTGATGTAATTAATTAAGCAAATGGAATATGGCTGCACATACAGAATGCTATTATCATTAATTTATAATTAATAATAATATAAATAAACTGGAGGTAAATAGCATGTATCATGCTATTTACCTCCAGTTTATTTATGGGTTGCAGGTAGATTTTATAAAAAGTAAAGCAAAATTTCTCGAAATATGTCCCAAATTATTTTTAAAGTGGTCCCAAAAGTAGTAATTCACCTAAATCTAGTAGCCTAGAGTCCTACAAATACAGTATATCAACCTGCTATATGTAGCCCAATCTTGCAATTCCGAAACCCAACTGTATTTTATGAGATAAGAGAAAAAGGGTAGTTCATAGGTGATCACAAAAGTAAAGACATATTGATCAGATTAGAGTTATTCTTGATCTGTTGTTCTTTTATAGTATGGAGGCACTTCGATCTAAATAAATGAGTTACCATACATGTCACAGTTCAGACAGAATTTTCACTTCAAATTTTGAAGTAGCCGTATTTCAAACTAACCAAATTCCTTAATGTGTAAATCTCTATATCTCAGGCTGGAACTAATAGTACGGTTACGAACGAATGGGATTTCAAACTATCCGAGTGTGAATTAATGAGAATTTCCTGTATTACTAATATAGTACCAAATTTTATGTTCTTTGATGGTTAGTTGTTAGCATTTGCATTAGTGTATTACTTAGGAGACCAGGTGGGTGGGTGGGGCCAGAAATATTGGTAGGACTGGTCCATTTTATATTCATAGGCACCAGCACTGGTCTATTATTTTCATGTTGTTTGAACAAATCTCATCTGCCCTGGACTCAGATGAGATTTATTAGGTGTATTTCCATTTCCATACTTATCTGTAAATTTTAATTTCAAATAATTTTTTTAAAGTATTAATAGCATACTCAATTAATTTTTTATTTAATTTGTCGGAAAAAGATCTTGAAATTCAATCGTTACACAATAAACTGCTATATTTCTCAAAGCTGATTTGAATTTAATAACTGAATATTCATCACTTATTTCTGGTTTGTCTACTTTTTTTCTTTGGAAGTTGATGAAAATATTCAAAATACATGTTGAGCTTGTTCAAGGACTATATTTATTTTATTGAAAATGATTACACAATCATTTGATAAATGTAGTTATGCAACCTTGAATATGAGATTTAAATTGTAATTTTATTCTGCAACATTAATTCGGTCATTTCTAAATATGGTTTCTTTTTAGTATTGCGTAATTAGGTAATACTTCAATAATAATCTTATGTGCTCTGTATCCTTTTCCTAATATTTTATTATAAAATAATGTTTGTTCATTTATTTAATGTCACATAACAATATTTCTAATTAAAATACTGTAATAGTATTACATGAAGATCTGTCATTAAATGCAGGCTAATTTTCATTTCCTTATTTTCATTTAATTTTATAACATAACTTAAAACGTTACTTCTATTTTTGAGAAATTTATTATTGGCAGTTTTTCTACTTTATATATCTTATAAAATTTTCATTTCCTGTGGCATAAAGGTAAACAAGTGAAACAGCATGCTTAACAATTAATGTGTGTGACTTAGTAACTTAAGCAGGCTGCCAAAACTGTTTACAATTAAAAACTTATGAATTGATGACTTCTTTAATGCACTTAATATAGAGATTAATGAAATAATAAAAATGTAGTATAAACAAATAATTTGTCGTATAATGCTTCCAGCAGCTGATGTTCCATCTATACTTCATTGAGCATAAACAAAAAGCATATTATATTATATTCTATTGTTGCATACCATAAATAATGGTATTATCATGGTATTATGCTTTATAAATTATTAATATTTTATTGGAAGTGTTGATTTTGGCTCGAATATATTTACCAGTAGACCTGAAATACAGTAGAGTTTAACCTAACTTATCATTATTTATTCTAAAACTTCATCATGTCTAGGTTATGAAAAATCAGATTATTTTTATTCTTATTTTCTTTTTCTCAATAATCTGGATTAACTAAGATTCTTGAAATATGAAATATAATCTTCACAAACCTCAGGATTAGTTCAGCAAGAATCAAAAACATTATTTTTCTAACATTTTTGTCCTACTGCAAAGGTCTTCTTCAGGAATATTAGAACATAATGGAATATTTGACAAATCTCAAACAGCAAATTTAATTAATTTTGGATCAAACACAATTTAAAATTGCCTGTCTTGCACGTTCCAAATAGTGTATGCATAAGCAATTTCACAAAGTATTGCCATGCTTTAGAGATTTTCCTTTCTTTGTTGTTTATTCAATTTCCTGCCCTGTTTGCCTTGAAAATTTTAGTCTTCCATCTCTTTAGTATGTTTCCCAGGCAACAATGTTTTTAACATTAGACTTGTTGAAGAAACGGGATGATTTCAATCTGTGTTGTTACATGGGAACACATCAAAGAGATGAAGTCTTGAAAATTGAAGTTTAGATATATTTTAGGGAACTTCCAAAAATATGTAGACACTATGTATACTAATGTTGTGTAGGCCTAATGATTGGCAGAGACAAAGTGATTTTGCCTTTTGTCTTTTGCTTGGGCAGTTCAGTTTTTCCGGAGAGGGTCACCATAGCGGGATGTATCACATGGGAATCCCCATGATACATCCCGCTATGATGCACCTGAATGCGAGCTACTGACCCTGCTCTGGATTGGACTGGATGATCCCCTTAGAAGTGAAGGGACAAAGATCCCCAGACAATTTTTCAAGGTCTTTCAACTGAGTTGGAAGACAGCTAGAGTTTCCTTGAAAGGTATTGTGTGCATGATTATGTCTAGATTTGAACAGCAGCCATCTGATCATTGAGACCAACATTCGGAGCTGGTGAATTCTATGGACACTCCTGCCGAAGTGGCTCATCTCCAAGTAAAGGAAACTGTGCTCAAAGGAAGACCATAAGGTGACTTTTGGACAAACCCTTTCCTTTCTCTCTTTTTAGTTAGAACATGTTCTAACTAAAAAGAGAGAAAGGAAAAATCGTTTGATCAAGAATGAATCGAATGGTCAACCCTTGTGTACGTCACTACTAATACTGTATTTGGCAACACTAGCGTGATGCGAATCAGTTATCTGTCATCGTGAGTTTGGTGAATTTATAGTACAAATATTTTATGTATTTTGGTTTAATAAAGCATTAAAATAGGTACCTAATTATTATTTTTTTCCTACTTATTTATTTACCCTATTCTTCTTTGCTTATTTAGATCAATCAAGATGTCATCTTGACCTGTTGTCTGAGTTCTACAAATATAATTTTTGTTTACATGTTCAAAGATAAGATAAATCTTATCAATTTTTATTAAAGTTCCAGAAAAATGAAAAAGTATAAAAGAATATAAGCAATTCTTTATATCTTACCGTTTATTACATCACAACAAATACAGAATGTCATCAATAAATTTTGAATTCTGTAACTCCCATTTTCGTTTTAGTAGATTTCTATACTCCATTATTATTTAATGTTGCGAAGATGTCTGATTTCTCCTAAGTACTAAAGATGTGCGTATATTATTTGTTTTCCTTCTTAACAAGTGTAAGGGGAGCTAGATGAATAATGTTATTTTGTGTAATTTTAGATGTTTGTTTTTCAATTAGATTTCAGAATTTTTGATTATTTTTGTTACCTCTCATAACTCTATTAAAATGCGTGTTTAGTTGCAGTTTTTGTTATAGTAGAATATTTCTTATGACAAAGCACTACAGGCAAAGATATATACTGTGAAGATAGATGATAACAAAAGAAGAAATCAAAAGATGTTAAATGCTTTGTTAAGAGTAGAATAACATTTGATGATTTTAAGGACTAATAATAGTATTACAGATTAATGAATTTGGTAAGTCTAAAACATGATACAAAAGAAAGTAAAGAAGGAACTTCTATGATATAAGGATGATTCATGGTTTATATTAGAAACCAGAATGGATTCTTTTACTTTAAGTTGTTATAAAATTTATGTAAAAATGAAGAAAATGCCATTATTGTTGAGGTAGATACATGTTTAAATGAAATTTCTTCCTGTATAAATGGATGTAGAATAGACAAATGCTTATTGGAATAAATATCTGAAAGATGAAGTATATATTATTATTATGTTAGGTTTAAAGATGAAATTTAGTACATATCAATTTTAGCATATCAGAAGTTGACAGAATGCTTTTTATACAAGAGATATAGTGATTGGGAATCATCATCAAAAATTTAAAGATATCTTGAAGATTTAATTAAAATGCCTCAATGTCCTTGACTTACTAAAATATAAATTTTCGTCTACAAGTATGTATCTTCTAATATCAGGACTTATTATAATGGCTTTACAGATAATGCTACAGAGTTTCACAGAAAACAAGTTTTTATCTTATTTAATATACCTGGACACATACATAATATTGCATTTCGGACTCTTTCGTCCCTCCTCAGCAGGTATTTTTGTAGTATATTCTATATAAATTAAAACAATAAAATAATTTTAATTTATATAGAATATAGTACAAAAATACCTGCTGAGGAGGGACGAAAGAGTCCGAAATGCAATATTATGTATGTGTCCAGGTATATTAAATAAAATAAAAACTTGTTTTCTGTGAAACTCTGTAGCATTATCTGTAAAGCCAGTATAATAAGTTCTGATATTAGAAGATAAGTACTTATAGACAAAAATTTATATTTTATATCTTGAAGATTTTTAATGAACTTAAAGTGATGTGGCATAAAACAGATCATTATCAAAAGCTTTTTGAAAAGTTTATGATAGTAAATGTAGGCTCTTTTGATTAGTCAATGGTTTCAAAACATTAAATACTAATCCCTATTAATTCTTGACTTATAAGTAAAATTGCAATTTTATTCTTAATTTCAGCTTTAAGATTTAGATGAAAAGTTTATTAAAACAGCTTTTCATTTAAATATGGATGCAACGGTAAAACATCAATAGTTATCTAATGAAACTATTGGTTATTTGGAATAATATGTATATTGGAAAAGTGTTAAGTATCGAAAAATAAATTTAATGGCTTGGTATTACATTAAACAAGAATTGATCTAGTGAATTTATTGATAAGTATTACACGTGCAGTAGTTTCGTGCTAATGTAAGAATATGTAATAATTACTAACTTTTACTTTATTTATGAACTTTAAATAAATGAAAAACTTAAACATCAAATGATCAAGACACTCAAAATAAACAGTTTAAAAGCAAAAGTATCCAGCAAGAACAAACTTTAATATACAGATATAAACATCTACTGAAACCTAATGCTTAGCAAATAGACACCCACGATTGCTGTAAATAATCAGGCTATAATTTGAAAATATTAATTATGAATTACAAATAAATTTGGCACTATATGGTGGCATTAGGCACCATCTTGTATTAAATTTAATGATTATAATATTTAAGTTAATTAATTTAGAATAAACTGGACGAAAAGAATCAGCCCAAAGTGCAACTTGAACTTGTAACTCCTGATTACCGTGCTTAAGCATTGCCAGATGACATTGGCCTAGGACATGGGTGTGTCTCCAGTTAGCGCCGTATTAACCGCCGATGGTTATACCGTGCATTAGGCTTATATATACTGGAAGAGGAGATCGGACCAAAGGTCTGGGTAGTGTTACTGGCAAAGAATTTGAAAAAGAATGTAAAAAGGAAGATAGAACAAAATATTGAATTTGAAAGTAGTACTGTTCTATTGGTCAGAGAAGAGTGCATCATCAATGATGTCAATATAACAGCAAATTTTATTAATGTTACAATTGTTTTAAAAGTGTATTTTAAATCATGATTTCCCAATCAGTAGAGATCTCTGCATCTCTATAATTACTCTGTAATTGGGAGTCTACACCATCCCAATTACAGATAATAGTACAACAAAGAGTGCATATACATAAGAACCCTGGATGCACATATTAAGCAGCATTTGTATTCCATCAAAAAGGGCCTACCATCCACTGCTTTGGTTGCATTTGCTTCCCAACATCCCGCCACAGACTGGGTCCTTTTAAAACATCCTGAGAAACTAGAAATATATGAGGCTCCCTGTATGAATGCAGATATAAATTATAAAGATCTGAAGACCTTTACTGTCTGGAAATCATTATTTGAAATGTATTTTTAAAACAATCATTACATTAATGAAATTTGCTCATCACATTGACATCATTGATGATGCGCTCATCTCCAACCAATGGAACAGTAGTGCCTTTTGAATTCAATATTTTGTTGTCTTTCTTTTTACATTCTTTTGTAACTTAACCTGGTGATTATGGTTTAAAACCATCAAATATGTTTCTTTAGTTTATTAAAGTTTGTTCTTGTTAGATATTTTTGGTTTTGGTGTGTTTATTTTGACATTATTGCATCCAGTTATCTGAGTGGTGTCGTATCAATCAAGATACTCATTCATACAAACAAAAATCTAGCCAAAATACAAATAAATGAGTCCTCTATGAAAGTGAAAGTAATTAAAGAAGACAAGATCATGGCAATTTTTTTGGTTGTTAAATTCAAGTATTTCTTCCCAAGAGATTTAGTAAAAAAATTAACTAATAAATATATTCATATTTTGGATAAAACAAGCAAATTAAAATGTAAAATGAGAAAAAAATATGTGTAAGTGGAAGTAAAGCTTATGTAATGAAATGTAATTATTATAATTAATAAAATTATTTAATAAAATTTTCAAATATTATTTAATCTTCTTATATTTTCTCTATCTTAATAAAGACGAGATTAAAAATATTAATTTTAAGATGAGGAAAATGATATTTTGTTAAGTCAACTCCTTATTTCCTAGATTATTATGAAAATCAGACTTCTAGGTCCCCTGAGGTGGTAAGAAATGCAGGCTTGGAATTAATTTAGGAAAGACGTAATCTTTCGTTTGGTTTTCTGAGCGTAGTGTAGAATCCATGTTTCTATACTACTGGTAAGATGTGATTAAAAAAAGTAATAGTATAAATATACAGTATGAAATTTTGTTTTTATTTCTTCATATAATTCATGAGATGATTTTGTAATTTTAAAATTCATATATCTGGAATTTAATGAACTGATAATTCAGTGAATTTCATGAATTTGATAAAATATCTATGCACAAAAATTCTCTATAATAATAAAATTTTGCAAAAGTTGACATTATCCTAATATTATTGTCGTATAAAATTAAAACTAGAACTACTGTATATAAGGGACAACAAACTGACCTTTTGTACATTTCCAGCAATGATATTTGCATTTTTGTTTACAACACTCGCTGCTGGAAACATACAAAAGGTCAGCTTGTTACTTAATAATATTATTTTTGATAAAATGCAAATAAAGGGAAAATGGAAATTACTTAATTTTTTGCATTTTGTGTGCCACTCATAAATACTTATAACTTTTATGTAACATGCATTTAAAGACGGAAATATAGTTAATTTTTTTATATATAAAAATGATAAAGAAATTTCTCTGTATGATATTATCTGACCATTTATTGTACCTTTACGTTTATTTTCAATTTTTGTCTTGATAGTTTTGGTATGAATACATGGCCTTGAGAGATAAAATTCACCAGAAACATTTTTACTTTATGTGATGAACATGCATTCTTATTAGACTGTAAATGTTGGCATATTCCACATCTACTTTAACTTTATACTTAATTAAATAATCATAAATATATTAACTGTAAGGCAGTTTGAAAAAGATACAATTTCTTGTTTTATAAATTTTTTTATTCTTGTGGTTCTTATACTTTGTTTTCTGTTATATGTGAGGAAAAAACTTTACAAAACTCTGAGTATTATATGGTATTTTGAAAGTGTTTGCATTATTTATTAATATATATCTTAAAAAATTTTGCAGTGTAGTAGTATTTTGACTTGAGAACAATCAAAACATTAATATAAATAAAAATTTTTCAGATGGTAAATTAAAACCTTATCAGATAGCATGCTTGGGTATCTCATCTCAGAGAGGTACTTTCATAACCTGGGAGAAGTATGTATGCCTTACACCAATTTATATCTTTATATATAAGATTTTTATTTAATTTTAATTTATTATGTTTTATGAATTTATTCTGATGATAATTCTTATTATGCTTTTTTATGTTTATAATAGAGACACAGGAAGACCATTTCATAATTTTATCTCGTGGAAAGATTTACGTGCTTCATCTATATGTAAAGAATGGAATAATTCTTTAAGAATGAAGGTATTTTTAAGTAAATTAAATTATTTTATATAATTCTAATTAATTTTTATAATTAATACATGATTTACATTTGTTTAATCACTTTTTATATATATAAAAATTAGAAGCAATTTTACTTGTGAACTATTAATAAATCCATGATTCATAGAATACATATCTGTAAAAATATTTAGATATCCATTGCCAACTAATATGCACAATAAAGAGTAGCAATCTCTCTGGACACACTTCAGTTCAGTAATGCAGTTCATCAAATTGGAGGTATATCTAATAACTCTTTATCTTTTTATTTCATTATTTAGAAGTTGTATTTAGTAATGCCTTCCAAGTCTCCAAAGTTGTGTTGCTTTTTCTGTAATTGTTGATTGCTCATCTGAGGTTGCTTTAGGTATTTGCCACACTTCTGCATATATGATATACTGCATACTTGTAACTTTTCAAATTAGTTTTGCTTGGCTCCATTCAACTGATACTGAAGTTGGGTCCAATATTTTGTAAGCGGCTAATGCTGAGAATGCTTCTGAATGTTGTCCTTATGCTCTTTTAACCTTACTTTAAGCAACTTTTTGGGTGGTCCCAATATATCATAACTCTTGTTTGATCTTATTATCTTTTACCTGTACTTTGTATACTCCAGGAATGTACTCTGAGTGGATAGCTTTCTTGCTGTTATGCAGCAATTTTTATATGGTGGGATTCCTTTTGAACATAATTCTCTTTTTTCTAGTTTTTCCTATTTCCCTGTAAATGTTATGGAGGGATGAAATATAGTCCACCACTGTATACCCCACCTGTTTTTCTTTTCTTTTATCCATTTGTACATCCTTCTAAAATTTGGCTTGAAAAGATCATCCTGGATGTGCAACAGACAATAGAATGCTTCAATGATCAACATGTACTGTACAAGCCAGAAGTGAAAGGGGTTATTTTATAGAAGTACAGTACAATAGATTCATTTTAAAAAATTTTTGTTGTTTCAAAAACATTAGTATTCACATTAAGTGATTCTAGTATAAATTATGGACTTCCTTCATTTTTGAATTATAAATTTCCCAAGGAAGGTCAATTAAGAAGACAAAAATGTTCAAGAAATACAGTTTTACTGCACTGTAAAGGCAGTCATACTGTGGTTAATAAAATGCAAATAAAATTTGTGATGTTTTAGTATCAATGTAGAAAGAATTGTATGTTCCACAGTTTTATTAAAGTTTAATTTACTATTGTTTTAGTTCAATGTCTCGCATTTCAGATGCTGTGATCTTGAACTCATTTCTAACCAATTCCTGTACTCTGACTTCTAGAATTCTAAGTAGTTTTGTCAGCAAATTTTTTGTAGGCTTTGTTCTCTTTTCTGATGATATCACTTTTCCTGTTGTTGTTGCTGTCAATGCTATTCATTTTTAGGATGGCTGTATATGCTGATGTAAATATATTGTTTTAATAGTAGTCAAAATATTATGGTTAGAATCTGAATAATCATTTTTATCTTATCATTACAAAACTAAGTGCTACATATCTGTTCATGTAATGAGGATATTTTTTATTTGCCAGAATTTTAGTTAGTAATTAATTGTTATGAATTAAAATGCCAAAATTGACTGACAAAATGTTTGTCGTCATTTTTATTGTTTTACTTTGCAAATTATTTTTTAAATCTATCAAGAATAGAATTGAAGAAAAATCAACAGACAGAATAATGAAAATTTTAAATTAATTACATTTAATCATTTATTTTAAATTTTTAAAGTGTATTATTCCTAGTTATTTTTGGAAAAATTATATTTTCTCAAATCGAAAACATTAAGCTATATAATATTTTAAATCTTAATAACTGTCTAAAATCAAACTATAAATAAATATATATATATATATAAGATGTTTATTAGATTAAATGTAAAATGTAAAATTTTCATTTAGAAGCATAATATTTTGACAGACTGTTGTATTAATTTCAGTGCTTAAGATGGGGGAGTCACATCTTACACTTATTGTCTGGAAAAAAACGATTTCTAGCTGCAAAAGTTCTTAAATTATCAACTGCCATGGTATGTGCTTTCTTACACAATATACAGTAATATTAACTAAGAATACTATTTTTATTACATATAATTTAATTATTTTTAGGTTGTGATGAGGTTATATTGGATTCTTCAAAACATTCCAGATGTACGTATGAATGTTTTGATTTTATTAAAATTTATAATAAAATATTTACATAATTTATTTTTTAAAAAATTGTGATTAGAGGAAGGATTTAAGGTGCAGCATCTTTCCAAAAATATAGCTGTTTTCATATAGGTAGTTTAAGATATATAAATATTGGGGCATGAAATGAAGTGACATGAACACACTATGTTGCACCTTTTGGTGAGATTAGCATATTTCTTTCTATTTTCTCTCTAGTAGTAACATAAAAACCCTCACACCCTTATTTTGTAGAGAAGATTTAGAGCTATAAAATGATATATTTACTGTTGTTGTAGTCCCAATAGTTTCCAAGATAATGTAGCAAAACCCCACAAGAGAGAAAACAAACTTTGACAAAACAGCAGTGCTCTATTCGCCAGTTCTCTGAGTTATGTTCTTCCCTTCTTTACATTCAGGGACGTTCTCTACATCCAGTATGTAAAGAAGGTTCAGAAAAAAGAAAGCATTTCATTCTGACCTTGGATTGTATGATGGATAGTTGTTCAATATAGTTGGTTGTGTGAATGTTATACCAGTTCAAACCAGAACCTATTGTTCACTATAAAAACATATGAAAAGTTGAGAAGGGAAAGTTTTATGCACTTTCAGAATTCAAGATGCAGTTTGTTGAAACTGATGATCTTATTCTTCAGTTTGCTGTCTGCAATGTAAATATTTCATTCAATGAGAAGCATCAAAGAGACTGAATAAATTAGCACATCTGGTACAGCAAGATTGCAGAGAACATTGAACTTCATAACCTAAGCAAATTAATGTGATAGTTACCAATAACAATTATTACTGTAAAACGATGAGGGGTGGTTTTCTTTGTAATAATTAATATAAACACTAAAATAGTATGGTTGAGATGATTTCAATTTATTCTTTAACCACTTACTATTGAGATCTTAATGGACAACTATTGCTTTTAGAAAGATGTTTTATTCAATAACACTTCTTTTTACAGTATGCATCTTGGCCAAATTACTAGTTTGACCGAAATGCGTGGGTCTCAATAGTAAGTGTTTAATGCATAAATTGAGATCATCCTGTAATCTCAACTACACTATTTTAGTGTTTATATTACTTACTACTAATATTAAATTAAATTACCTTGATACACATATTCTGTTCAGGATCTGAAAAACAATGGTCATTGAGTGAGTTCAGTGCAGACATTACCATTCCATTAATTCAATCAGGAATTCCAGTTTACAAGGTAAACAATCCTGCATTCAAATTGTTCCTCAAGAAGTACATGCAAAGGTCAGTCTGAACAAGAGCACCTTTAGAAAAAATTATATAAAGCCAACTTATGAGAATTTCTTAGAGAAAATAAAAGAGGTTGTTGGGAAGCATGAAGTGGGGTTCATGTTAGATAAAACTATTGATGAGCTACAAAGATGTATGGGTATCTCTTGATTAACGTGGTTAATTAATCCCTTGATCCTACCACATACATCAAAATTACATTCATCAAAATATGGTATCTATGTTAAGTAAAGACAGCTAATAAAGCCACATAAATTAAAACTTCTGTCACGTATATAAAGGGATTGCCACAATTAATTTCATGCATTAATCAAATCCTGCATTAAACGAGGGATATCTATATATTGAATATGTTAGTGTTTCCATTATCTGGTGAATGGGTAAAACCATGCTTTTTAAGATGTACCAACTCAAGAAGACAAATGCCTGAACAGTAATGTAGTCATTAAGTGATTAATGTGTGAAGCTGTGGCCAGGGAACATACATTACAAAAAAGTTAGGCTTATGGTGAGTGATCAAGCATGTTATATGCTTTTGGCTTTCCAACAACTGAAGGCCATGTACAGTACAGTACCTCAATCTCAACCACATGACATATATTGGACATGGACTATGCCATGTTTGTTATGATAGCAGGGAGGATTTCAGTAGGATAAATGACTTCATTGCTGCTCTGAAGAAGATTCTTGTGAACCTCCTCCCAAGTCAAGTTTTGTACTGAGAAGTTACTGGGCTTCACCTATCACAATTTCCTGTCATAAACAGGTGGGTATGTGGATAAGATATGCAGTTTTCTTGTGTAAAAATGTGTACCCAGATTCAAAAGACACAGCAGACATCAAGTAGGCTCAAAAACTGCTTAATACCAAAGACATAGAGTTGGAACTTTTCACAGTACATGGCTACAAATATTTGCCTGATGTGATTCAGAGTTTGGAAGAAGGTATGGAGAAGGAGGAACAGTTGATTACTGAGATGGATTTGCCAAAGGCAGATTTGAATTAAATTTGAGGAACAATCTGGATTTGGAAACTTTTGCAACTTCAACCATGTCTGAGTGCTTACAAGATATGCTCCATTGGTTTCAGTTTATGTTGAGTGGAGTTTCGCCACATACAAGGAACTTCTGAGCTCAAAGCACTAGAGACTTACTTTCAAAAACATAGGAATGTTGTGCATAATCCAATATAACAAGTTGGTTAAAATCAATAAATGTCATATTTATCTCCTAAATATGTTTACTTTATGATATTTGCTATAGTGTTGGATAAAGAATGTTCTCATAAGTGGTTTAGACCTGAATAAATGCATTTCATCACCATCATTTTTTTCCAATTTTTCTGTATACTTTTTCAGTGCCTTTTATCCTCTTTTCTGACCATAATTTTGCAACCTACAATCCTTTCTCTAGTGTTGATGATACTGAAATAACAAAACTTACTTAAATAATTTAAAAATTTTATTACAAAACTTATCTAAAAATATTTTTTGAAACTATTGATATCATCTCTGTATTTGATTTAAATTTCAGGTGGTCAAACATAAGTAGAACTTGCAAATAGAATAATAATGTGAAGAGTTTGGCAATGCTGAGATTCAGATTTGCATTGCAAAAGCACAACTGACTTAGGACATTACATACACCTTGCATTACTTCTCATTAGATCTATTTTCATTTCAATATTTTGTATATAACTTATTTATTTTATTTTATTTACAATTAGGAAATATCATGTTACAACAGATTTTCTTCTCCACATCAATATAAAACCGTAAAAGATTAAATACAAAAGGGAAAAATACTAAAAACAAGCAACAGCAACAAAAAACAAACATGCAAATACAAAAAATTTAAAAAATATGAAGTACAGGTAACCAACCCCCTGTATAACATGGGAGTTACATTCCAAAAAATTGTTGTGTTATGTGAATCTGTGTTATACAAAACAAAGAACTAGTGCAAAAAGGGGGGTTATGTTTCAAAAATTAAAAAACATGTTGTTAAATCCTTATTTAAATTGGATTTATTATTCATTTTTTTCATAGGTAAAATACTTATTTATTATTTAAGTAAATATTTTACCAGAGGATTATTCATCCTATATGATGATCTCAGCATGAGCATCATCAACTGATCACAGTTTTTGGGTGTGTTTNTAACGTGCCTATTTTTTGTTAATTGATTTCCAATATGCCTATTTTTAATAAACTTTTGTTTTCTCGTTTTATTGCAGGATATGTATAGAAATTATATAAGGACTTCTCAAAAACGTTTTTGGACTGAAAAAAGCTTTCAGTCCAAAATCGTTTTGAACACTAGCTATAGAACGCGTTAGAACGGGCGGGAACTTAACAATACTTATACTGTGATGTTAAGCTTTTAGAGGCAAAAGAAGGATCCCAATTGTAAAATTTAACCATTAAATGGATTATTTGTTGAAAGAGCATTCAAAGTAGCCACAAAAACAATTAGAATGCTCACGCGGAGGTATAAAAGAATGCACCCTTTATTACATTTTATGTTGTACGAGGGTTTTACCCAATTTCTGAACCGTGTTAGAGTGAATCCGTGCTATAGAAGTGCTGTGTTATACGGGGGTTACCTGTATACTTTTACAAGATTTTTTTTTATATCACAAGTATTTAATGCAAAGCATATATTCGATATTATTCATATTGTTAGCAATGTGATAAAAGAAATATTTAAACAAAAGAAAAAAAAGCATAAATACATGATAAATTGGGGTGGTTTTTGCAAAAAAGGCCTCATTATTTTGCACTCCCTTGAATGTCAGATTAACCAAGTTTGACTGTATAATATAAAAGAACATGAAGTTATATTTTTATCCTTTTCTCCTAAAATCCTTTGTTTTAATTATCCAAATAAAATTAATGTCATAAACATCTACAAATAATAATAATTTGTGTACTTGTAAAATTTTTCCTTTTGTATTTTCACACAAATTTCCTGAAATGTTATTTTGTTTCAGAAATATTTGATATGTGTATGTATGTATGTATGTATATATACTTACAAATGTTAATTATTAATAATAACAACTCATATTAATATAATATTAAAAGAAAATGAATGATAAACATTTTCAATGAATGTTCTATTTAATATATATCTTTATGTGGCATTAATTAGGTTAAAAAGAAAGCAATAGATGGGCAAGCTCTTTTTGGAACGATTGATACTTGGTTAATATGGAAATTAACGGGAGGACGAGTACATGCTACCCCAGATTCAAAAGACACAGCAGACATCAAGTAGGCTCAAAAACTGCTTAATACCAAAGACTTAGAGTTGGAACTTTTCACAGTACATGGCTACATTTAAATATATATTATTTTGAAATGATTTATTTACAAAGATAGATCTCATGATGTAATATTTTATAGTATAAATTTGAGTCTGATTAATTAATCTGATAATTATGTAATAATTCAAATTATATCATTTGAATCTGCCCCTTGGATTTTCCCTTGAATTTCATATCTAAAATAGTTAAAAGCTAATTAGTTTTGTTCAGTAAAAATTTGGATAATTTACAGATATCTTATCTTTTATTGAAACTCAAGAATAGACTCCACACTTATTTCTAGATTAGCTATTGCATATGTTTAGGATTTAAGACTAAATGCTGTTTATGAAATGCACTTTTCTGAAACTTTAAGTTTAAACCAGTCTAGACTTAGACTACTGTCTAAACTAGCTTTCTGAAATCCATTTCTTTGGTGTGGATGAAATAATATTTTGCAGTTTTAGTGATATTTTTGTCTAAATAGTAGAATTTTTTTACAATGTCTGAGCACAGAACACAGGTTTATCTTTGGCTTAAAAAGTTTAAGCAGTTAAAGGAAAGGAAATGAGTGGAAACAGAAAATAAAGAGAAAATTTGATATTGCCAAAGAATGTGAAATATTGCTGAACATTAGAAACTTGCAGAGAAAGCAGGCTTAATTTTCAAAACAGATTATTTGAGTTGTTGAAAATTCAAACTTTTTGATTTTATCCCCAATATTCAAATTAAAAACCTCCTTTTTATATGGGAATGCATAATATTATATATAATTATTATTTGTTAATACTCCACACTCAATATCCTTATAGACAGGGTCTGTATAGCCTGGAAAATAAGGGAATAACATTTTTAGCAGAAAAAGTCAGGGAATCTTCAAATATTGTAGAATCCATCTGTTGTTCTTATTCCTTTTTATTCTGAACACATATTTAAATTTGGTTTAGTATAGGGGGATTTACGAAAACTGTAGCAACCAAACAAATGGCAAGATTTATTGTGCTTACATCTTGTAAACTATAAATGATAATCTAACGATTTAATCCTTTACTTTCAATAAGAAATGATACATAAATGAACAAACGTTTTTGATCTTAATCAAGATCTGTCTCAGGTTTTGGTTCACTTGAGTTCCAGTTATGGAATGCAATGATTCGAATGTTTCTAAATACAAACATTTTTAATAAGTTTGTAATTAAGAACAGAGATATAAATTGAAACGATAAATTAATTATACATATATAGACCAATTGGAATGCATATATTATCTATATATAGGCATTCCATAATTGGAACTAAAGTGATCCAAAACCTGAGGCAGATTTTGATTAAGATCAAAAACGTTTGTTCATTTATGTATCATTTCTTACCAGAAGTAAAGATATAAAAGTGGTGTTCACATGTACTGGTAATTGGTCTAGTAGTTTGTTCTGATAGATATGAACTTGGAATGTGATAACCAGCAAGACATTGTTCGTTTAAATCTTATCCTTCCTCTAATAACACACAGAAGGATTCACGCCTTAAACAATTGTGATTGGATTCACAACCCTCCCAACTTTTTTGACCTGGTGACATTTGGTTAACTCTCTGTAGTCAATTGATGCCACGGAATGGCAAAGAACCATCAGTCGGTTTAACAATATTGTGTATGAAACATTTTTGGATCGCATGGTGGACCTCACACAATTTATGTCTTTTTATTTATTGTATTCTTTGCTGCTGGCCACATTCAATATGTGAAGATCATCAGTCCATCAAAATTGACAGGATTATTATTTTTGTACAAATTAAAGACAAAGTCGCTCTAAAAAATTATTTCAGATTATCACCATTTTTATTCAGTGTTCTAGAACAAATCATAGACAGCAGGACCTTCCATTTTAGGCTACACAACTGCCTACATTTAAAACATTCCTTAAAAACATAAAAATCAATAAAGATTAAAAGAATTCTTTAAAATTGGAACAGTAGATCTTATGACGTCTTGTTAGTTCATCTTTGTCTGTTCGGGTTTCTGGTTATGATTTGTTCTAGAACACTAAATAAAAATGGTGATCATCTGAAATAATTTTTTAGAGTGACTTTGTCTTTAATTTGTACAAAAATAATTATTCATTTGACGGAAATTCAAAAGGATTATTATTTGTGATATATCTTCTCTCTAACTGCAAAATTTCCATCTTCAGATGACCTGTGGAATTTCGGAAGTATACTGAAATATCACCATATAGTTAAAATCAGGTTTTCAAAAAACACCATAGACAATGACCCGCTTTCTTGCCAAAACTCTGCTGCTCTGGGGAGGGATGGGAAGAAATGTAATGACCTTGAATGGGTCTTTGTGGGTCCAAAAATAGCATGCAGTAAAGTGATTTCTCTTGTTTAAATTATTTTGAATTTACTGTCTCCTGGCTTTAAGAAAATTAAATTTTATGGTGTGATACAAGTCTTTTTCTTATTTAAATAAAATATACGAATTAATTTTAAATTAAATTATGAAATCTTTTATATGCCATAAAAAGGTCGTAGCTAATTACATAATCAATTTTATGCAAAGTTTTTTGATTTTTGTAAGTGAATAAAGTGTTTTTTTTTTTTAATAAAAAGTTATATAACTGTGTACAAAATGGGCTTAAATAGACTTGGCCAAATATTACATAATGGAAAGGGAAATGTAGACACATTAGTAAGTCAGATGATAATGTCATAATTGGTGAGGGAATTGCAGATGGAATTATCTATACAGATGCTGTATATACATGTTCCATTTAAATTAATTTAAAAAATAAAAAAATATTTGTATTTTGTTTGTTCAAAATTTGTATTTTGTATGGTGATTGTTAATGTATTGGAGCTGAAGGTAACTTGAATTGCGTTGAATGCATTTCTCTAATAAAAAGTTTTTGATTTCCTTAATCAACATTTATATGAATTTTCATTAGTATTGACTATTTTAAATAATATAATTTGCCAGAATATTAATAATTGTTTATATATTAAAGTTAGTTATCTAAATTGCAGAATTTGCTTTTATTATTTCAAAATAAAAGTACCAGCAATTAAATATATTATTAGTAGTAAATAATATATAAATAAACTGTAATAGGAATAGTTAAAATATGCATATATATTGAAGAATATATATTCCTATTAAAATATATACTGTTTTAATTGTTTTACAGTTTATTTAACAGAAATACAAAATAAAACAAGATTATGTTTTTCAACATATATCTTGTTTTGAAAAACATGTTCATGTTTTTCAAAACAAGATATATGTTGTTTCAAGATATATGTTCAGTCCTAGAATTGATGTATTTAAAATTTCCTATTTTAATTCTTTGGAACATGCCCACATATAAAGTTTTTATAGCAGTTGTTCTATGAATTTCTAATCAGTTTTTGAGATTCTTGAAATATTTCATGTTTATGTTTGTAACTTCTCTAGAAGAATTTAATAAACTCTAGTCCTTTCAGAAATATATCTATTTTTGTTTTTTCTGAAAATAATATCAATATTCTTACAAAAGTAATAAATATATTTTTTATAGATGCATTGGGCAGGCTGGGCAATAAATATGTTTGGAATTCCTCCTTCTATGCTTCCAATTATAAAACCAACAAGGTATGTATTAATCCATTTTTATTTTAAGATAAATAAAACTATTTATTTGTTTTAAACTTTAATAAAGGTTGATCTAAAAAGAAATACTGTAATTTTTTAATATTATCTATGTTTGTTTCTTCAAAATCAATAGACAAAAAGTGAAATATATTTTCTANGTAATTTTTTAATATTATCTGTGTTTGTTTCTTCAAAATCAATAGACAAAAAGTGAAATATATTTTCTATTAAGATATATGAACAAACATTAATATATAGCATTTATACAGAGTTAAAAGTTCCTTGCACCCTTTTCATTCCAAGGATCTGAAGATAATCATTTTCAAGGCAACAAAAAAGGTTCCAGTTCCCTGTATGTGACTTCCTATATAACTACATTAAAAAAATTAATATATTTTCAGTACTTTTGGAATAAAAGAGATGCAAGGGACTTTTGATTTACCATATGTAGTGTGTACATTACAAGTGTATTGTATTGCTGACATTAGAATTTTTAATATAAATTCTAAGTCAAAAGTTTAATTTATAATTATTTTGAAATTTGTCATTCAAATTCAATAACTTTGATTTGTACTCTAATACTATGACAGTAGATGAAACTAAAATTAAATTATAATCTGTTATGATATTCTTTATATAATGAGTGATTAAAATAAATATAAAATAGATATTGTTACATCTACTATACAGTTGTTATTAGGCTACAATTTGAAAAATTTGTAGATCTATATTCCCACTGTCATCTGTCTGTGTTCCTTAACCTTTCATTAATCTTGAAAATGGTTAGATAGATGAAAGATGAGACCAGAACCTTAGGAACAGGAGGCCCTGATTAACTATATACAGTGGGTGATTGGTTAACAAACATAATGTTCCAAGATTTTGTTCTCTATCTGAATTGTTCATTAATTAACCGATTATTGATTTACCATTGGTTTTTATGGGAATTTGATTAATTCGTTCCAGAGACCCAAAAAATAAAAAACATATACTTTCTTACTATGTTTATTTATACGTAATAACAAAAATACATATATACACAGTCTTGCATTTTTATTAGTCATGTTTTTTCTATTTGTGGGGGTTAAAGAATTTGTCTAATGTCGATTGCTTTTCTCTCTTCAGGATTTTCCAGAAGTAATTAATAGCATTGTAATTGTAGAGATCCCTAAGCCTATTAACCTCAACTTGGATGTCATTCTAAGACCATTGTTCTGACATCCTCTCACTTCTTCAAAAGATCTTTAATAGTAGATATTGGCATTAATCCTCTTTTTCAGAAGAAAACATATCTTGTTGAGTTTCTTGGTGTTCTTCTGTCGTCAGATTCATTTCAGGTTCCATTGTGAACTCTTCAATGTTCTTTATTTCTCAGATGTGATTTTTGTTACTCCTTTAACTATTTGAGTCTTCTTGATTATACTGTATCTCTCTTGGATAAGATTGAACTGCGGCCTACTGTAGACCTGTTCAAGCCATACTGCCCAGCAACATCAGACATCTGCCCAGTCTCTACCTTTGCTGTTATACTCTCATCTTTTGAAAATAAAAACCAATGCAAAACTTAATGAATTCCCGTCTAACAGTCTTGCGAATACTATAAAAGAATTGTTTCTGTCAGAAAAATAAAAGGCTGGAATTACAAGTGAGAGTTGCAAAGTTTGAAGGAATACTATCCGAGCAGTATATACCGGGTTGGATGTCAACGTCTCCCACGCTCCAAAAGTTTAGAATTGTTGCCTAAAGACAATGGAAGACCAACCTGTATTCATTATTTTTTGTCGCTTCTTCTTGTGTTGTTCTATGATGTGTTCGTTGTCTGAACATAAAAATCTTTCGCATAAGTGCTCGTTATCCGATCACCCACTGTACAAACTTCCTATGCAAAGTGGAAGTGATGTTATTTCAATTCAAAAATTTTCCCCAAAAGGAGTTAGATAGATGACTAGCATGACTCGATTGCTAAAAGAAAAGTATGGTGTACAGGGACAAGACACTACTAATTTGAGGTGGATAGCATATATTTTAAATTAATTAAATAAATTGAAAAATATGATTATTTAAATAATGAAAAATTGTAGAAGTTCATAAAATTTGGCACCATATTTTTCATACAGAAATAAGTCAAAATGCTTAGTTTAGGTATAATACTTTCATTAAAATAAATGTTTTGGTCAAGTACTTGTCTATCTCAGCTTATAATAACTTACTTAACAGATTAGAATGTTATAAAATAATTGGAACCCTTATATTAAAATATACAAAACAAACTAAATTTTTTCTTTGAAATTTTATATTATGAATATATTCAATAGAACACGTTACATTAAAACAATAAAATAATACTTTTATATAAAATCAAGCTATTCCAGCTACATAACAAAATGTACAATTTTAAAGTAAAAATAACAAATGCTATTATACAAATTTTGAGAATAACATTTTATAGCAAGAAGATTAACTGAAGGAATTTAATAATTATGACCCAGTATTGTTAATTTCATATACATATCTTGCATATTAATAATATTACAATGCTGACTTAAAGCATAAATATAGGTAAAGTAAAGTAACTTGACCACGTAATTGCAATCTCAGGAGCATGGAAAGCAAGGAATCCATTAAAATGTTTTGCAGGATATGTACAGGATGACATGCTTGTGATACAAGAAAATAGGGTTAGAAAATATATTATGGTTATGGTTAGCATAACTGTAACTTGAAAATTTCCAATATAAACACCAAGAATTCACAATGTCACAAGATTCTGCATGATGGAAAACAGCATACACACAACCATTCTAATAAATGGTTGTGTGTAACAAAAAATCAAAGAAATACTGGTATTTGAACATTGGGAAGCAGATTAGCCATTGTCCACAATAGAAGACCCATACTTGTTTGTGGATGAGGCAACAGCATTTTAGCTGAAATTTATTGTGATGTCAGCTGTGAGGTGCAAAAGCATCTGTTGAATAGAATTCAATAAATGTGCTTTATTGCACACCCTCTCTTGTTTTCTCCCCATCTGCAAAAGTGTGTAGGTCTTCTATTGTGGGTATTGACTTGCCAGCTTCTCATTGTTCAAACACCAATATCTCTGTGGTTTTTCATTCTACACACACTGTTCCAATGCCTTATGCTGTTTTCTGTTAAGCAGAATCTCATGACATTGTGAATTCCTAGTGTTTGGATTGGAAATTTTTAAGTTATGATTATGCTAATTGAAACCATGACATATTCTACTCCTATTTTTGTGTATCACAAGGGCAAGTCACCCTGTATATATGCTGAAAAAGTTTCAATGGATTCTTTGCTTTCTATGCTCCCGAGATCTTGGATTGATCAAGTTACCTTATGACAGCCCTCTATATAATTGTTGTCTAAAATTTTTATCAGGTTATTATTATCCCATTCTCTAATTAAGATAGGTTTTCATTTTGTTTTAGCATTTAAGGCCTACATTGAGAGAGATGTGACATTGCTTATATTGTTTAGAAGTGTGAAAGTAATGGTTTATATATACTAGCTTACCTGTCGCGCATTGCTGCGATCTCAGAAGAAAGGAAATTCAGGCAAACTCATTGTGATAAAATTCAATTTACATTTTATTATTTTTATTGAAACTCTATTATTATTATTATTATTATTATGTTGGGTTTAGTAGGTAATACTCGGTTTAAACCGGTGGCTGTGTACTATGCCGGACCAGAGTCAAGGCATAGCAACCAAAACAAAACTAAAATTAAATGTGTGTGTCAGTGTCTGTATTAAGGAATTTCCTAACAATATGGCATGTATTCAATATAGCGGCCTTCTGTAGTGTGATGTATGTATTTCTACTCAATTGTAATGTTCCCAGGCTTTTGTGTAGCATGTGTGGTATCACACCTGTACAGGAGAGAACAACAGGTACAATAACTACCCTATCCATCCTCCACAGATGCCTTATTTCCTGGGCAAGTTCTGTGTACTTGCTAATTTTTTCAGTGCATGTGTTTTGTACATTGTGAGTGTTTGGAATGGCTATGTCTATAATGTATG